TTTCCCGGCTGACAGCTTTCCCTGCACAGTCCGGTACCTCCCTCCAGCAGGCACTGATACCTGCTTGGGTGATTAAATATTTTGCAAAGAAACTCCTCCGCATTTCAAGGAAAGGGTGGAGGATTTCTATTCATTTAGATTTCTAGACTCCAGGAAGCAATCCTAACAGCAATCCCAGTAACTGTTACAGCAATCCTAATAACGGAAGGCAGTTGGAAAGCTAAAAGCCCTGTCGAGATGCAAAGCTGAGCATCCCCTCAGTCCACCGGAGCTGAAGCCCTCCAGAAACTCTGAGGTGGAGATGCTTCCGTGCTGAAGAGGTTCATCAGCACAGTATGCATTAGGGGAACTGAGCCCCGATGGGACAGGTCTCCAAGTATTACTGGTTGCACTTCAGTGTCCAGCATTTTAGTTCTCAAGCATCTTCCATCACCTGTATTTCAAACCTCTGCACAGCGCTAAATGCTTGCGTGAGGGATGACAGTGCTATCTTAGAGACAAAAGGACTGAGATACAAGCAAGATAAGGGCATGTTTACAGGAATTGTGCTGACATATCTGAGCTACTTTAAATCAGCTGGCTTGCATTACGTTAGTAGCACGGGGTTCAGCACAAATTGCTGAAATAAATGCTTTGCTTTTTGAGATGGACTGCAGCCTGCATGGAGCTCCACAGCACTGTGGGTACACTGCCAGCAGTACCCAGCCTAGAATAAGTTGGATAAGGTATGTCCATACAAGCTGCAGTCACAGCAGCAACTGCCATATGGCCATGCTCGTGTGACCTGCTGCCTGATGTTGGCTAAATCACTGCCAGGGCCAGCAGTGAAACAGGCTGCACTAGGAAGTGCTGACCCACTTGTCAAAGCACTACCGTGAAACACAGGCTGTGAGCCGACACTCATCAATCTGCAGAACTACATTAATCAGTAGAAACTCCTTAAAAATTCATTGGATCCATGTGGCTATGCTGAGAGGCCAGAGAGATGTTCAGAGATTTGAACAGTCATTTAGTCCAGTGCTCTGCACAAACTGTCCCCCTACCCACTTACCTCCCCTTATGTCTCTGTATACCATCCCTTCCATGACTGCTTTTGGCCTCATCACTTGTTTAGCCTCTTCTTTCCCCCTATGACCACCACCATGTACTGAAACTTCTCACCGAGTTAGTACTCATAGCCAGTGGCTTCCCTGGACTCGAATTTCTCCTGGGGGAGCCATTGCCATTAAGATGGCCTTAAAAAATGTGCTGGTTTGTAATGACTAATGGGCAGCCTTAAAAGAAGGTTCATTATCAAGGTACTGCCAACCATGAAGCTGGCATCCTTCCCTGCAAGCTGTACATCCCCTCCCTCTGTCAACTCAACAGTCTTTTAAAGACTTCTCTGAGGCAGGGATTGCTCTTTCCATTACATTCCAGAACCAAGCAGCAGTCACCCATTTCAAGAATGCAACCAGCAAAACACTGTCTCGGTCCATTATCTTCATCAAATTGCAAAAATACTGAGTCCATCATTATTTGCCTGCCAAGCACAGACTGCTGTGCCAATAAGGAGAGAGAAAAAAATGTAACTTCAGGGCATGTGAAGTTCAACAAGACCCAACTCTAATCCTGTAGGGTTTTCTATATATGCTTGAGAATGAGGGGTTAGTCTCAAATAACAATATCCAATTATAAGCTATTGGCATTTTGAGGGATTTTTAGACTCCCATAGATGACAAGGAAGAGTAAAATTTATTTAAATCCAGAAATATTTTTGATGCCTTGTGGAAATAACTTGGAAGGTGGCTGTTTGTCATAATTCATAGTCACTTTCTGAAAACATGAGATCGCTGTCATCTGAGGAAGGAGTAATTGAACAAAACATACAAGGTTACTTCTATCATATCTGCTCATATTAGACACTGGCCAAGTTTTAAACCACAGTGCAGCACCACCGTGTTCCCCACACAACCTCAGTGCCTGCATGCACCATAAGTGCAACAGTGAACATGTTAAGGTTACGTGTAGATCAGCAGACACAAATGTTACTGCATGTGCACCCATGTGTACATAAGTGGGATCGTATGATTCTTGGGGACAACACTGGGAAAGCAGGAAGTGGGTCACTGTGACCTGGATGCCAAATAGTCTACAGAAACCTCCTGCAAACAGACCCTGCAAAACAGCAGGTTGAAACGTGGAAATGAATGCTTTCAAACAGCAAGGATTACTGTGTTAAACGGCCATAGGAAGTCTGTGTTGTGGGTATGGACAAGTACGGCAGAAGGTCCAGGTGCACTGAGGAGATGGTTACAGAAGCTGCTGCTCCATTCCAGAACACATCCCCAGTGAAGGCAAGGGCACCTTAGCACAACTCTTCCATCATCACACTGCTTGTTTGCATCCAAGCCCTCATTTCTGATATGCCACCGGATAAAATATGCCTTATATACATTAATACCTCTCATAAACATCAATTTGACAATTGCCAGCACAGCAGCTGCTCTATTCTTAATGAAAAACACAAAGATCATCCTGCCCTTCCTCCTCCATTTCCTTTCCCAAGCTTCACAATCCCCTGCACTAATTCACAGAGTCTTTTCCTTCCTCCTCCAAACAATTGCTAGGGATATAATTATCCTTCCATTCATTTTGCAGGAAGTATTCCCCCTTCTATAAGCCTTGCTCTTCACCCACCCCTTATACTTCTTCCTAGGTTACATCCCCATTGGCCTGTCACACCTTTTTCAGTAGCTACTCCTGACTCCATAAGCCAAGATTAGTTCTGGGAACTGCTACCTGGGTACCCAGAGCTGCACCTGTAACAGCAAAGGTAGCAGCAAGGGCACACAGGGAACTTCCTCTCCGGGACGATGACCTACACTCTGTGCTCCTTAGCTGGTAGCTTTGCTTCACCCTTATCTGAAAGTCTCTGGAAAAATTAGGGCTCTCTCCTTCATCAACCCAAGTATTCCAGGCCTGTGTTATCTAGCATCAGCTAAAACATGAACACAGACAAAGCACTCTGTAATCCAAAACCAAGACACAACAGCTGGATACAGGCAGCAGGGAAGGGAACTACCAAGAAGTACCACTGCTCTACACAACCTCACCTTGGCAGCTGCTTTCCTAGGGGCAGGCTTTCTGGAGACACTGTCATAAAACAGAGCTGCAAGAGGGTCTCCAAGGCAGCAATGAAATGGCTCTGCCACCATCTGAGCATGGGAAAGAACATTAAGCAACTCATCTGAAGAAACGGCAGGGCAATGGCGACAGCGCCTTGGAACAGCCAGGGACTGGCCCGGTCATTCAGCATGGCAGCAAGGGTGGTACAGGCCAGGACAGCCTTGGAGTGATACATTCTTTAGACTAAATAGGACTGCTCCCCTTTACCCAGACACACATCTCTAATCCAAACTGTGCCAAATATGAAACAACTTCTACAACCAAACAAGATGGCCCAACTGCTTGCCAACTCCTTTCAATTTTCCTTCTCAGTCATAAAGAAATAAAGAGATACAAAGACTGCCATTCTTCATCATTTCTTTCTTCCCACAACATTCACACAACCCAACAGCAACCAGTGTCCTAGCAGAGAGACTGCTGATACCAACATGCCCCATACAGCTCTTCAGCCAAGTTTTAGTTTATAGGACATAATTGTTCCCAAAAATCACATTAGAGTACATCCAGCGTTTTGGCAAAACACAGACACATTTTGTTTGCCCCAATTTGCTACCTATGTTGTTTTTCCAAAAGAATTTGTTTGTGCAGGTCAAGTAGTGAGTGAAAACAGACAGACAGACTCAGTCCTTCAGGATGCACAAGAGGCACTGAAGAGAAAAGGAATCCTATTGCTGCCAGGGGCTCAAAGCAGCCTGGATTTCCTGCTTCTCATCAGCCTGCTGTAGTCCCTGGATTCCAGCTACATAGCTTATAACCTTTTGTAGTCTAAAAGGTGAGTATGTGCATGTGAGTTTGGTCCTCACATGCATTTCTCTGCTGCCCTTTCTGTAGCCCAGAAATCTTCCATCTCTTGTCATGCTAGGAAGAAAGTTCAAACTCCATGTTTACCAGCTCTAACCACCCCTTTCTAAAGCTTCCCAGGCACAAGCAGCTCTGTAACACACACACACACTCCACACAGGCTTTAACACTAAACTGCTATGAGACTGGTAGCCTCCCAAGCAGTGTGGGTGATCTAAGGACAAGAATGACTGAAATGGTTCCTGGTTTGCAGGAACCAATGAGGAGACACTAGATTCTCAAATCAAAGACTGAATCACTTTAATCACAGAGCGGAAATACGGCTAAATGATAAAACCTTCTTTCTAGAACATCAGCAGAGGCATGTGAAGGAAGGCCTTAGAAACTTCCAGTTAACACATCTCCTTCCCACAGCAATAGCCAGTAGATTCCTTGGTTGTCACACAGAGTTCATAGCCCAGACTACCAACTGGGCTACCACCACTCTTCTAAGAAGGGGAGACAGTGATCTTGCTCTCTAAGAAACATTATTGTCTATCCACTCATTAAGGAATGATTGCCCAAAGCAACAAATATGATTATCTGATCTCCTGGACAAATTAAATATGAATATTCACTAGAATCACTTCCAGTTCCATTGTGACCCTGGAAATATTCTGAACTACTTTTTTGAAGGCTTAAGGGCAGAAAATGGAAAAAAAGTTGCTTTGATGGACCACCATCTGCTCTGGATATGGACTTCATACCCACCACTAAGAAATGCTGGCTGCACTGGACACCACCCATCTTGGAATATTCTTTGAATAGGAGTAGGTGGAAAGTTGACAGTTTCCCACTCCCAGATTTCCATAGCAATATACCTCACAATGCTCACATCTATTTCTGTGTAGAGCTGTCTCAAAGGTTGAAAAAATTCAGACTGAAACACCTAGCTCCTTCCTCCTTAAATGAAAGATGTGTGGAGAAAACAAAACAAAACCAAACCAACAAAAACCCCCAAAAATCCAGACTATACCTGGCAAGAAAGAAGTGTTAAACATTCACCAAACCAGAAGCAAAATCTGAATTATGCAAGTGGGGAGAAGCATTTGGATACCTTTTCCTAGAAAATGTATACTAGCATCTGGGCTAATTGCATAAACCATGAGCTGAGCTTCCACAGCAGAAAGCTGTCACACATCTGGTGATCAAGCTACCTATTCACAGTTCAGAAATATACCAAGCAGCAGCTCACTGCCTCCTGCAAGAATGTCAGTTAGCCAAGCAGAGTGACATATCTGGCACAAGAGGCAAGAGTTAATGGAACACATTGCAGTTGCATAAAATGAGACCCATGCTTGCTCTCCTTGGATCCTTAAATGGGATCAAGCACAATAAAATCAATCTGGCTTGGTCAATGAGAAGCAGCTTAGAGGAAATCAGAAAGCCGCCTACATCTCTAGGTAGATATTGGAAATATTTGAGATGCTACAGGTCAGTGGCATAGTCCAATGTACTTAAAGGGTCATCACTACTTTGCCCTTTCTACTGGCTTGAATCTCACCAGATGCAGTCGCTTCCCCTTGCAGCTGGAACAAAGCCACACCCTGCCCCACACTGATGAAGTACCTTGGTTTTACCCAACTGCCATTCTTTCTTGCTGCTGTCATAGGTCTGAAGAAAGCCTGCACACACAGCTTTGCTGTTGTCTGAGAGACTTGGCCCCTTCACAAGCATCTTGTACCTAAGAACCAAACAAAATCTCAAAAGATTACGTATGACAGTAACCCACCCGCACCGCTCCCAATCTTTTAACTCTAATTATCCTCCTCTCATGAGTCCTTCTTCCTCTGGGACCTCCCTTCTTCGTGTTTGCCTTCCAGTTTGGAAATTTCCATCCCCCCAACCTTTATCTGTTCCTGCCACACTGGCAATTGTTGCAACCCCAGTAATAAAATACAAACTCGACAGCATTTTTCAGTAAAGAGCAACTGTCTTTCTGAAACATGTGCTTTCATCAGACACAAGTTATGTTGTTCAGTATAGCAGTGGCATTTAATGCTTCAAGAGACAAAGGAAGCAATGTTCAGTGGTCCCTTCTAGCCTTAAACTTCAAGAAATCCTTTCGATACAGCTAATTAAAAGAAATAATCACTCTAAAATTAATCATCAACTATACTGACCACTAAAATTTGTTTCAGCCTGCCAGATTACAGGTTTTAAGCATGATATTTTCAGTTTATGTATTATGACCAGCTGGGTTTCACAGCATCAAACAAACAAATCTGTGGCAAAGCTACCAAAAAAAAAAAAAAAAAAGGACCATCTAGCTGTTTTTCCACTATTTTTCCATTCTGACTTTTATCCTAAAGGCAAGTCTCCAAAAGGGCTTCCAAATCAATCTATAATATGGGCAATAAGGCCATGGTTAGAAAAACATCCCACAAATGATTCATATCAGTAACAGCAGTTATAGAGATTACAAACATACAGAATCATATACCTTAGGGCTGTTACAGCATGTGGTACAATGACAGCAATTACCTGCTGAGAAAGTCGTGGAAAAGGCGCCGTATAGGGAAACCTGCTCTTCGAACTTTCACTGTCTCCAGCATCCCAGAGTACCGGAGCTGATTCAGCACCACATCTGGATTGAAGAGGTTTGGCGCCTGCATAATGATCCAGATTCAAAACCAAATAAGAATAGAGACAGAACGAGTGTTGGTTTTGGTATTACTTCTTTGCTGACTTGAACAGTGACTGTTTGTCCGAGCACAGACAGTCACAGGTGGTAAATCTGTTTCTCTGTAGAAAGTCAGCCCTGCATATTTAGGCCTGCCAGGTGAGAATGGGGAAGTTTGGGTCATGGGGAAAGCAACCTCACAACACTGCATGGTGCAGAAAAAGGGACAAAAGGGAGTTGGGCACATCCTGGGAAAGAACAGTCTGCAGGCTGCTGTCACAGCTGGACCATGGCAGTAAAGCAATGATATAATGCGTTAATACAAAATGCAGAACTCTGACTCAGTTCTTTTTGCATTCTCTCTCCAGCCAAACTGGAGACAAACTGCAGAAATCTTTCTGGCATAAAACCCCCAGCAGGCTTTACTCTGCTGTATCACACACAGTTTCAAAACCCAAAGAAAACGATCGGTTCAGAGCTCCCCACCCAATCTCATTAGCACATACCCTCCTGTCACAGTTCATGACACAAGCGATACCAAGATGTCTCTAAGCACTGTGACTTGCTCATGAAGCGTCCACCTCCTCTGCCACAGAGCCCTGGATCAGCAGGAGGTGCTTCCTACTGCACAAGCCCTCCATTCCTGCACAAATTGTCTACAGGCACCACAAACAGGAGCAATTGCTTCTTCTACCACAGCTCTGGGCTCTGCACAACCCTGGTTCATCTTCCAGGCTTCATAAGCACAGAAAGATGTGGGAATGGTTATATCATGCCATATCATATACTCAGCATGCAGTCTTTTCATCTGATTACCAGGAAGAGGGTGTATTTTTCCTCAACTACAAAAGAACTAGAAGGAAAAAGGGAAGGTGAGGGGGAACTGCTCTTACTCTCAGTTTGGACCCCGACAGAGGCACCTGTTGGGCGTTTGTACAAGTGAGTGCTCATGAAGGCCTGTGTCACACACATAAATTTTGCTGGAAGACAGACTTGCCTTTTCTGTGTTTGGTTTGATGCAGCGGATGAAGAATGGATTGGAAGTACTAAGCGTGGCCATCAAGGAATGGAGAGAATCCTGAAAGGCAGCAAGACAAACCAAAGGATCAGTCACTACATGAAGGAAAGGGGCTACACTCGATGCAATAGGTCTTCATGCAGCCCTCCCATTCCTACTGCCCTTTGACTCTGCCTACCAAAACTTCAACGACCCAGGAGATCCCTTCGTTGTCCAAAACACACCCACACAGCTAGTTTACTCTAACACTGTTCACATGGCCATCCTTGTTCTCAGAGCTGTATAGCTGATGTGAGTTATTTTTACAAGTCTCTCAAACTTTAAATATAGGAAACTAAAACTGTGAAACTAACAGAAGGTTTGAAGACAATCTAGAGGGGTAAGATTCATACCTGCAACGTCCGCCCAGTAAGGTTTTATTGGAATTGCCACTACACCCGTAAAAGATGTGCCCTAAAAGGACACATACACCTAGCCAAAACACCAAACCATCATGAAAGATCAAAGAACCTAAAGAACTTCATATACTTAGCAAAGTATTCTTTTCCTCAGCCACCCTGCTCAATATAGCATCTAGTGTTTTACACCAGACAGAAGTCCTTGGGGCAGTGGCACTGTCTTCTTTTA